TGAACTTGTCTAACAAATTTGAGATTGGTGATGGAAGGGTGCAGTGCAGTAAGAAATGAAATTAAGTCAACAGCAATAAATTATATAGAGTTGGAAGATGTAGCATAGGTGTTAGTAGAGTTGAGGAACTGCATCAGAAGAAAGACCATCATGAGAGTTTGGTAGAGGCCTCCTAGCAGTAGTCCGGATGTGAGCAAGAAAATAAATCAGAAGGAAAAATTGCATGCAAGAAAGACACTAGTACAATGATCATGGGGGACTTTAGTATGCAGGTGGACTTAGGAAATTTAGGTTGGTAGCGGACCTCGAGAAAAAGAATTTATGGAATTTCTACGAGATGGGTTTTGGAAGCAGCTTGTGGTAGAGCCCACTACGGAACAGGCAATTCTGGATTGGGTGAAGTGTGATGAGGCAGACTTAGGGAGCTGAAGATGAAGGAACCCCAGGCGAACAATGACCATAATATGATCGAATTCAACCTGCAGTTTGAGAGGGAAAAGATTGAATCAGATATGACGGTATTACAATTGACTAAAGTTAACTACAAACATATGAGGAAGGAGGTGACTGGACTTATTTGGAAGGGAAGCCTAGCAGGGAAGACAGTGGAACAGCAATGGCACAAGTTGCTGGAGGTAATTTGGGAGGCAAAGCAGAAATTCATCCCAAGTAGGAAGAAGAAACATATTAAGGCAATGATGAGGCAACGACGACTGACAAGGGAAGTCAGGGACAGTATAAAAACAAAAGAAAAAACATACAAAGTGGAGAAGATCATAGAATTATAGAGTCCTTACAGTGTGGAAACAGGCCATTCAGCCCAACAAGTCCACAACGCCCCTCCGAAGAGCATCCCACCCAGATCCATTCCCCTACCCCTGCATTTTCGCATGTCTAACCCACCTAACCTAAACATCCCTGGGCACTATGGACAATTTAGCATGGCCAATCCACCTAGCCTGCACATCTTTGGACTGTGGGAGGAAACCGGAGCACCCGGAGGAAACCTACGCAGACACTGGGAGAATTGGCAAACTCCACACAGACAGTCGCCCGAGGGTGGAATTGAACCCAGGTCCCTGGCACTGTGAGGCAGCTCTGCTAACCACTGAGCCACCATGCTGCCCAAAGATGATTGGGAAGCCTTTAAAAAAACAGCAGAGAGCAACTAAAAAAGAAATAAAGGGGGAAAAGATGAGAGTAAGCAAGCTAGCTATTAATATGAAAGAAGGTTGCAAGAGTTTTTTAGATATCTGAAAGGTAAGAGAGAGGCAAGAGTGGACATTTAACCACTGGAAAATGAGGCTAGAGAAAATAGTGGGGAACAAAGTCATGGCAGAGAAACTGAATAACTACTTTGCATCAGTTTTACACCAGCAACGCACCAGAACTTCGAGAGAATCAGGAGGCAGGAGTGAGTGTAGTGGCCTTCACTAAGAAGAAGTTTCTGGGGAAGCTAAGATGTCTGACAGCAGATAAGTCACCTGAATCAGATGGACTACACTCCAGAGTTCAGATGGTCAAAGCTGAGGAGATTGTAGAGACATTGGTGGTAAACTTTCAGGAATCACTGGAGTCAGGGAAGGTGGGAAAAGTGGCTAATGTAACATAAAAGCATAGAAAATAGGTACAGGAGTAGGCTATTTGGCCCTTCAAGCCTGCACCACCATTCAGTACGATCATGGCTGATCATGCAATCTCAGCATCCCATTCCCGCCCTCTCCCCATACCCCTTGATCCCTTTAGCCATAAGGGCCATGTCCAGCTCCCTCTTGAATATTTCTAATGAACTGGCCCTAACAGCTTCCTGTGGGAGAGAAATCCACAGGTTCACAACTCTCTGAGTGAAGAAATTCTTCCTCATCTCAGTCCTAAATGGCTTACCCCTCATTCTTAGACTGTGACCCCTAGTTCTGGACTTCCCCAACATTGTGAACATTCTTCCTGCATCTAGCCTGTCCAGTCCCATCAGGATTTTATATGTTTTTATGAGAACCACCCTCATTATTCTAAATTCCAGTGAATACAAGCCCATTCAATCCAGTTTCTCCTCATCTGTCAGTCCTGCTATCCCAGGAATCAGTCTGGTGAGCCTTCGCTAGACTCCCCTGATAGCAAGAATGTCCTTCCTCAGACAAGGTGTGGCCTCACCAAGGCCCTCTATAACTGCAGCAAGACATCCCTACTCTGATACTCAAGAATCACTATGAAGGAGAGCATGCCATTAGCTTTCCTCACTGCCTGCTGCACCTGCATGGTAACCTTCAGCGACTGTTTCACCATGACACTGAGGTCTTGTTGCACCTCACCTCTTCCTAAACTGCCACCATTCAGATGATAATCTGCCTTCCTGCTTTTGTGACCAAAGTGGATAACTTCATGTTTATCCACATTATATTGCATTTGCCAAGTATCTGCCCACTCAGCCAGTCTGTCCAAATGACCTTGCAACATCTTAGCATCCTCCTCATAGCATACACTGCCACCCAGCTTAGTGTCACCTGCAGTTTTATAGGTATGGCATTCAATTCCTTGGTCCAAATCGTTAATGTATATTGTGAACAGTTAAGGTCCCAGCACTGAACCCTGCGGCACCCCACTCATCACTGCCTGCCACTCTGAAAAGGACCCGTTTATTCCACTCTCTGCTTTCTGTCTGCCAACCAGTTCCCTATCCATGTCAATACATTACCTCCAAAAGCATGAGTTTTAATTTTCCTTACTCATCTGTGTGGAACCTTACTCTTGTGTGGAACCTTGTCAAAGCCTTTGAAAGTTACACAACATCTACTGATTCGCCATTGTCTACTCTACTGGTCACATCCTCAAAAAATTCCAGAAGATTTGTCAAGCATGATTTCCCTTTAGTGAATCCATGCTGACTAGGACCGATTCTGTCACCACTTTCCAAATGCTCAGTTATTACATCCTTAACAATTGACTCCAGCATTTTCCACACCACTGATTGTCAGGCTAATTGGTCTATAATTCCCCATTTTCTCTCTTCCTCCTTTTTTAAAGAGTGGAGTTACATTTGCTATCCTCCAGTCCATTGGAACTCTTTACGAGTCTACAGAATGCTGGGAAATGATTACCAATGCATGCATTATTTCAAAGGCCACTTCCTTAAGTACTGAGGGATGCAGAGCATCAGGCCCTGGGGACTTATTGGGTTTTAATGCCATCAATTTCTCCAAAACCATTTCCTAACTGATAAGGATTTCCTTCAGTTCCTTTTTTACGTTTGACCCTCTGTCCCCTATTATTTCGTGAATATTAAATGTGGCTTCCTTAGTGAAGACAGATCCAAAGTATTTGTTCAACTGGTAACACCCCTGTTTAAGAATGGAGGGAAATAGATGACAGGAAACTAGAGGCCATTAGCCTAACCTCAGTAAGATTTTAGAGTCCATTATTAAGGATGAGATTGCAGAGTATTTGGAAGTGCATGGTAGAGTAGGGTGAAGTCAGCACAGCTTTGGCAAGGGGAGGTCATGCCTGACAATATTTGTTAGAATTCTTTGAGGAAGTAACGAGCAAGTTAGACCAAGGAGAGGCAGTAGATGTAATGTATTTGGATTTCCAGAAAAGTCTTTGACAAGGTGCCACAAAGGAGACTGCTAAATACAACGTGTCCATGATATTAGGGGCAAGGCACTGGCATGGGTAGAAGATTGGCTGACTGGCAGAAGGCAGAGAGTGGGGATAAATGAATCTTTTTCAGAATGGCAGCCAGTGACTAGTGGAGTTCCGCAGGGTCCAGTGTTCAGCTTACACTATTCATGTTATACATTAATGATCTGGGCAAAGGAACTGACGACATTGTTGATAAGTTTGCAGATAACACTTGCAGGTGGAGGGACAGGTATTATTGAGGAAACAGGAAGGCTGCAGATGGACTTGAACAGGCTAAGAGAGTGGGCAAAGAAGTGCCAGATAGTCTACAATGTGGGAAAGTGTGAGCACTTTGGTGGAAATAGAGGCATATACTATTTTCTAAATGGAGAATAGCTTCAGAAATCTAAAGCACAAAGTGACTTAGGAGTCCTAATTCAGGATTCTCTTAAGCTTAAGATGCACAGGTTCTGTTGACAGTTAGGAAGGCAAATGCATTGTTAGCATTCATTTCAAGACAGCTAGAAAACAAGAGCAGAGATGTACTGCTGAGGCTGTACAAACCTCTGGCCAGACTGCATCATGAGCAGTTTTAGGCCCCATTATAAGAAAATGTATGCTGGCGTTGGAGGGGTCTAGAGAAGATTTACAAGAATGATCCCAGGGATGACGCGTTTGTCATATGAGGAGGAATTGAGGACTATGGGTTTAGAAGGATGTGGGGGGTTCTCATTGAAACTTTCAGAGTACTGATAGGCCTGGGTAGGGTGGACATGCTGATTGTTTCTCCAGTAAAAGAGACCATGACCCAGGTGGCACAACCTCAGTAAAGGGACGACCCTTTAGAACTGAGGCAAAAGGGAATTTCTTCAGCCAGCAGGTGGTGATTCTGTGGAACTCAATGCTATAGAGGCCTGTGGAGGCTAAGTCATTGCGTGTATTTAAGACAGAGATAGCTAGGTTCTTGCTTTGTAAGTAGACCAAGGATTACAGGGAGAAGGCAGGATAATGGGGATTGAGAAACAAAGCAGCCATTAAGGAAAGGCAGAGCAGTCTCAAAGAGCTGAATGGCCTAGTTCTGCACCTGTATCCGATGGTCTTCTGGACTTTGCTATCTCATTGAATCAGAAGGATATTTATGAAATAGCTGAGCTCTAAATTGCCTGTGGTTCCAAAACTATTTCTTAACATGATGGAAATTTTCAAAAATCCTCTGTCACAAGTATTGGGATCCTTGGTATTTAATGAGCATGTAAATAACATTGTATTCCATTTCAAATACAAATTGCAGAAAGACCAACGGTAAACTGCACTGCAAGCATTCTTTGACTTTCTTTAAATTGATTCTAATACTATGCTGTTCAATTGTATGATTCACTTCATAGGTGCAGCTAAAGGAGGTGGTCGAAGAACTGCCAAATAAGATGATGACAGAACTTGCCGAAGCTGGTTCCAATTTCAGCGTTGGACAAAGACAACTTGTATGCCTTGCCAGAGCAGTTCTCAGGAAAAGTAAAATACTTATCATCGATGAAGCAACAGCAAATGTGGATCCTCGGTAATGACCTGTTCTTGAAGTGCAATGATTTGCTAAAAGTGATCATATACTGGTGTTGTGACAACACACTGCAAGTGTTGCTTACAAAGAATATTAGCAGCAGTGCGTTGAAGCAAGGTTCTGTGGTAACTCATTTAATTTCTGTGATAACCAGCAATGATGAAAACATATATTTAAAAATTGCAGCATTGCAATTTGTGTTGGATTCCTCTAATTTATATTTTGATTTTAGCATTCATGAAACACCAAGTACAGAAAAGAAAAGCTGCCACATTTTTGTAATTCTACCATTATTTAAGCTGGCAGTATAGTGTACTTTATCTAATGGTATTTCAGCAGCCTTTTTTTGAAAAAAAAGTAGATGTTGGAATAAATTCTACAACTCTCCAACAGTTTCATTCACATCACTACACAGTGAAAATGTGTAGAGACAATAACTGTCCATCAGGATTTCACAGAATATTTCTTGAATTATTGTAGTCTTCTAGATGTGTAAACAATAATCAAGTTTAATTTACAATGTACAGTAAAATGATAAGATAATTAATTGGAACCAGTACATAACAAAGTTATAGGAACTTGAAAAAGTAGAGGATTGGAAGATTTGATTTAACCCATGAAATTTCTTCCAACTTTTAACTCACTTTCACCAGCTGGGAGTAATTATCACAGAAGCTCTTTCTTTAGTCAGTCTGGGATTTGAATTAACACTATATCAACTCACCACAGCACATTGTGTATTACCTATGGTTTCTTATGAAAATACTTCATAAACATCCTATTTACATTTTACATGACATCCAAAATGATCTTTGAAGAGAGGATATAATCTAATTTATTCTCAAGATTTTCCTGATCGTCCCTTGAAGGCTTCGATTCTTAGGTTGGACCTAATTTTCTCGGCACCAAGCAACCATTACTCATTCCTTTGCCTTGACTGAATTTGAGTTCCGCAATCACTGTTGCCATCAGAGTTCTGAGGAAGGGTCATTCGACCCCGAAACGTTAACTCTGATTTCTCTCCACAGATACTGCCAGATCTGCTGAGCTTTTCCAGCAATTTCTATTTTTGTCACAATCAGGCCTAATTGTATCTTAATTCGATAAGCATACAAACATTGCAAGGATGATCACTGCACACAACCAAAGTAAGAAACTGTTTTCCCTTTTACTGGGCCACAGGTGCTGCAATGCTTTCATAACCCAATCACCAGCCTGACTGAAATCAGGACAGATCAGGTCCTTTACTGCCGCATATATTAGGTAGCCTGATTTATCCTTAATTGTATTAAAAGTTAAAAGCATTTCAAGGGGATCAAAGCAGCTCTTGAAAGGAAGGATTGAAACCTATAAATGAGAAAGAATGTGCAAAGTCAAAATAATTGCTTAAGACTCATGTTTGGCTGCTAGCTTATAAGGTGCAATGTACAATAGTGTCTTTCTGGACCTGGGTTCAAATCTTACCATCCCTATAGTTGTCTCATAACATGTCAGAACGGATTGATTAAAGATGTCTATAATAGTGTTTTAGCAAAATTTCAAACAATGTAGAATCCTACACTGCCAAGACTGAGGTTACGTTTGGCATTATACAATCTGAAAACACCCTGAAGGACTTTTACCCCCTTCTCTATTATATATACTATATACATGTACAAACACATATAGTCATACACTAATAGCCCAAGGTAGTTTAACAATGACACTGGGCCATTGGGAGGAAATGTGGATAAACCACTTGAATAAAACAGCAAAGATTTGAGAAAGGGAACTCAACAGATGTCTTATTTGGACTAAATAGTAGCGAAAGAAGTTGAATATGTGTAAGTGCAACATCCTGCATATTGGAAGTGAAGTTTAAAGACACAAGGACTTCATGAGTGAGGTTAAAACCCATGAACTGCTTATTGTTGATGAACACCCCTCCATTCTTGATTCTTAGCAGGGTAGACCTTTGAGTGCTAACTTCATAGATTGTCTGACAACGATGAAAAAATTAGGTTTGTCATCAGTGCCTGCAAGTAGTTCAATCTCCTGTGCTCTTTCAACCCACCATGTATTCTTTATTTCATGGGATTTTTGCTGTACTACTATCTTCAACTACTTGCAGAAGTGCTGCTTTTCTCTTCAGCAGAGGTCCTGAATCTCTTCCTCATTTTCTCCATGATGATGTTTCATGATAGGTGTAATTTAGGGCCAAGCAGGTACAAAAGCCTTAGTATAGCTCCTGATAATTCGAGATTGGGAGGTTGGCTGATTGTGAAGGGCAGTATTGGTGGCATCCTTGAAACGTTTGATAATTTTTTTGTGATATTCCTTCTGTTTGGAGCCACAGTGATGGAGATGGTTGAGGCCACAGAATTATTACGGTGCCTGTCGTGGTTGTAACAAGGCCAGCCAGGTGGACCTCATAGAATAAGAGTTCCCCAATTGGGACTGTTAACTTGGTCTAATAAGAGAGCCCAGACTGACAGATATAAATAGGAGTGTCAGAGGTTCTGTTCACTCTGAGATTTGGCTCTGATGAAGCCAGACCAGTGTCAAATATTATGCACATCAATAAAGGGTTACTTGGTGATGGGATACTGGCCCCTGTGGCGACAACAGTAAAAACAAAACTGAAGAAATTCACTCGCAACAGTCGTCTTTGAGTTGGGGGTAAGCATTTCTGGCATCATGCCCTTATTGGGAAGCTTGACTCATTCGATCTTGCCATCAAAGATTGGGCCCAGTCTGAGTAGAAAGTGCATTATTTTTTCAGGCACATGACATTGGGGCAGATGAAAAGAAGCAGATAATTCTCCTGACAGCTTGTGGATCTGCAGCTTTTTCCTGAGGCACCAAATACTAAAATCTTTTAAGAGTTGATGGATATGGTCAGAGAACATTACGACCCCAAGTCTCCTCTAATTCTGAAACACTATCAGTTTTACGCAGCTGTTCGAGTCCGGGGAATCCAAATCAGTATTTTTAGCTGGTTTAAAATGACTGGCAGAGGCATGTGACTTTGGTTTAGCCCTTAATGAGATGCTGAGAGGCCATTTAGTATGTGGGATTAATGAAATAACCATGCAAAAGTGCCTACTAGCTGAAGCCCAACAGGCACTACAACTGGCTCTGTCAATGGAAAATGTGGCAAATGGAGCATACGGTATACAGGGTATACCGATGGAAGTGAACACCACCCTAGCGAGGTCAACTGAACTCTGGGGACATCATTTGAGTGAAGACAATTGCATAGTCTCACTCAGGACATATCCTGAATGGAGGGACTCTAGGTCAGCCCACAGCAAAACCCTAAAACCAAGCCAAGCCTTGACCAAACGGATAACATTTTCTTCAGGATCTGGGTTGGCAAGCCATTGTAATTGTTGCTGGTATGCAGAGTGAACACCGTAAGAGGCTCACTAGGCCTGAGTTGAGTAAGAGAACTCGTAGGCCGTTATCTAGGAGAGTGTACACCCTGAAAAGTCTACCTACGTCTGGGTTGGAACAGTTAAATTGCTTAGCAACATCATAATCAGAACTGTTCAAAATAAACATCTGGTTAAATAGTCACCAAGTTCTAATGGAGGTTGATGCCTGTTGCAGCTGTATCAGTGATTGCAGAACCAGTCTTTAACATGGTGGCTCAGCGGTTATCTCTGCTGCCTCACAGTGCCAGGCACCCAGGTTCGATCCCAACTTGGGCGACTGTCTTTGTGGAAGTTTGTACATTCTGTCTGTGTTTGCATGCGTTTCAGGTCAAATTCAGGGTGGGCTCTTAGTCTAAGTGTGTACGATTACCTTTTAGAACACCATCCGGGAAACCAAGTAGCAAATGCGGATCCCTCAAGCCACCTCCCGCTACCAGATACACCACCAGTGTTGCCTCCCCTCAAAGACTCCATTCAGGTTTTAAACTTTCTGGACATCCTTTTGTTCACCACTGACAATATCAGACTCTGGACACAAAAATATCTGCTCCTGGCTGAACTAAAAGAGATGGTGGTAATAGTGGAGACAAAAGGGTCATCACATCCAGATTGAAACCTCTCTAGATTTGGCAAAACCAGATCACATTTTAATATGGGGAGCAAGAGTGATTGTCCCGAGCAAAGGTCACCGCCAGATAGTGGCAGAATTCCACGAAGGTCATCCAGAGGTGTCCAAAATAAAGATGTTGCCAAGACGTTATATCTGGTGGCCAGGATTGGATGCAGACGTAGCCTTGTTGGTGGGGTGGTGCCCAGAGTGCTAACAGTGACAAAGCTACCGGCAGCAGCTCCCCCATGTTCATTGGAATAGCTGGATAAACCCCGGCCCTTTCATGGGCTCAAGGTTCTTAATCATTGTGGACGCCCACTGAAAGTGGTTGGATGCGCATTCAGTTCATTCATCAAACATGGGGTCAACGATAGAAAAGCTGCGAGCATCTTTTGCAGTACACAAGCTCCCTGAAGTGTTGGTCACAAGCAACAGACCATCATTTACTAGCAAGGAGTTTGAGTATTTCCTAAAGTTAATTGGCATTCACCACATAAGGACAGTTCCAATGGTCAGGTGGAAACAGCAGTCCAAATTGCAGGCTTAAAGAAACAGCTCACAGCTTCACTCGAAACCAAACTGTCCCAGTACCTATTTGATTATTAGATCAGCCCTCATGCAACTACAGGGATAGCTCCCGCAGAGTTGCTAATGGGGAGAAGACTCCACACCAGGTTAAATCTGCATGGGTGATGTGAGGTCAGCTCCCGTGATTTACAAAGTTCAGGTAGGTGAGGCGATCCAGAACAACCATGTGGACCACATGAAATCTGCAAACTCTCAAACGGGGCATGAGCAAAACATACCCAGTGCCTCAGAACAGCCAGAAAGGCTGTCGGAAGCCGTGGGTACTCCCCCTCCATCTAGTGTCGAAGAAACCTTGGAGTTTGAGATGGACATAGCAGATGGCGTACCTCTTCTCCTTTACTGCCTGAAGAAGAGAAGTCGCAGGCAATAGTCCAGAACACGCCGCC